ATGTTTTTGTTTTTGTTCCAGTGGACCATCACTTCTCACAGTGCAAATGATCACCTTGCAACTAGTACAGGTGACTACAACTGCTGTAGTGCACACATTCACATTCTCTATTTAATGTACACCAGCACACATCTAATATAGTTTCACAGATTGATTCATCCATTGGATTCGCACTCGCACCTATATGTCGCACCTGTCGTACGTATGTGCTACGCTGCTACACCTATCGCACTGGTGCGTTGCACCTATCGCACTGGTGCGTTGCACCTATCGCACTGGTGCGTTGCACCTATCGCACTGGCGCGTTGCACCTATCGCACTGGTGCGTTGCACCTATCGCACTGATGCGTCGTACCTATCGCACCTACTTGTTGCACCTCGCCCCCGCACCTGAACGTGAGCCCCTTCCAGAAACCATATCTTTCATGGCTCTTGAGCTTAGCTAACTTAAAATCATGCAGCGTGCAAAAAATGTTTGCATAGTTGCGGTTCCGAGATGTTCTATACGCGGGTGTCCGTCACAGGGGTCTCATTGGCGCAGTGGAACTTTGCATTTTTGTGGATGAACGAAGTCTTGGTACCTTCTTGATTTGTGCGTGGCCGCGCGGCGGCAAGCTTTTGCACACACGACGGCCATGGCTCAGAGACACCAGCCCCCCAAAAAAAAACCTGATTGAAGCAACGTGCGGTCCACATGTGCCAACTGCCCCGGCCAATAGTAGGACCTTGGCGTTTCTTGCCCACAAAATTTACCTTTGACAGCAGTCGCTGAAACAATCCTGCGCAACCTTCTTGGGGGAGACTTGAATGAGGGCCCACGTTTTCTATAGAAGTGTAGGCTCACCCGAAAGCCAATAGGAGAACGCTAGCAATTTTAAGGGGAGACATGGATGAAGCGAAACTGATTGAATCTGCAGGTCAGAAAGATCACGGACAAAGCGAGAAGTATACCAGCCGTTTTTTGCCCGAAAAGTGCGCGAGAGCACAAGCAGGTTATGAGCCCAACGTTACAGGTGTAAGACCCCAGGGTGAAGGGGCGGCCCCAAGCTTCCTGTGCTGGATGATGGCACGGCGGCGGCGACAAGCTGCGGCTGATGGCGGCGATGCGGCTGCGGAGGCTGCGGCGCTGGCTGATGGAGAAGGACGTGATGAAGGAGAAGGGCAACTAGCTCTAGAAGATGGAGGCCAAGGAGAGTTTCAAGGACCAGTGGGAAGGCCGACGAGCCCGGGACCACCGACGACTCCTTTGTTCTCGCCGGAGCAGCTCCGAGACCTTCATGAAGTTCAAAGTCAAGCACCTCATCTCTATGCCAAGATGCCTCGAGAGAGTGTGTGGCGTGCAGGTGGTGGAGCACAAGACCAGGTGCAACCGCCTCAACAGAGTACTACAACGGGGACTTCATCTCCGCTCCCTGGCCAAGGGCATGATCTTCGGGAACCTCAAAGGGGCCGATCACCGAGTCAGCAAGTCCCTGAAG